AGAGTGAATGGCAGAGGAAAAAGTAGGAACCACCCTCAGCATTGACCTTTCTGCCAGGGCTCTCTCCAAGTCATCACCAGCGAAAGTGCTAAGCGTGGGAAGGGCCAAACCTGACTGAGAAATAAAATCATCTAAAGTAATTCATCAGCCTTTCAATAATAAAGTTAAAATATTCATTCTGTCCTTAGTGTCAGGATTTTAATAACTCATAAATAATGAAACTACTTGAGCTCACCAGAAACTATTATTTTAGGGGTCTTCTCATATATTTGGGGCCTTCATTTATAGTTAGAATCATATTGATATAGATCTATTTTCCCCCAAAAGTTCACATAAAGACTAACTTGTTCTCCTGAATGGCAAAAAATGTAGTTTCCACAAAAATCCTCAAAAACAACTCTCTGAAATTTCTCTTTTCAATGTTATAAATTACCAAATCCAAGTTATTTTAAAGCCTTCTCCTCAATTTCATGTTACACTATTCACCAAATTCCTTGAAACACACTAAGTTGTGTTTCTTGGCTCTCCTCGATACTTAGTTCCTTATTGCTGCTATAATAAATGACCACAAACTCAGTGAACAACACCTTTATTGTCACCTCGATCTGGAGGTCAGAAGTATGAAACTGAGTAAGATCAGCTGTCAGCAGGGCTCGTCCATTTGAAGGCTCAGAGAGGAGAACCCACTTTCTTTGCCTTTTCCAGCTTCTGGGGTTGCTGCCATTCCTTGGGTCTGGCCCCTTCCTAGAGACACCCAAATCTCTTGCTTCTGTTATCACATCTACTGCCTCCTTCATACAATGTGGGATCGCTTTTTCCACCTCAAAATCCTTTTACCAGTAAGGTAACAAACACATTTGCAGGTTCTAGGAATTATTGTAAGAGGTGACATATTTCTGGGAGGGGGGATTACCAGGCTATCACATGCGCTATGGTTCTAACTTAAATGTCTGCATTCTCTGCCTACCACCTAATTGTGTTTTTTCCTCTTCTCTCTCATACTTTCTCCCCTCCTCTTCCACACACATTGCTTCCACTCTCACCTTTATGCTAGTGTTGTAGTCTCTCATTTTAAATGAGAAAATTGGATCCTAGAAAGGGAGATGACTACCCTTAAATCACAGAGAATAGGATACTGCTATTGGGACAGCTTCAGAGCATCTGGTCTAGTATTGGACTGGATCCTTCTTCTATCTGACTGCACAAATCTTTCTGACTTGTGTATGAGCCATAGCCTCCTTTCCCCTCCCCTGACTTCCATTCTTTCTTCTCTGTCCTTTCATTCATTCTGAAATCCAAACAAACTCATATTCCTAAAATGCTGCTTTGGTTGGGTTAACTCCCCTGCTCAAACCCACAAAGGTCCTAAGGACACAAGTCTTCTTGGTCTGATGTTTGATATTCAAAGCCCTCTAGGGTGTCACACCCATTCCCATTCTTGACCCTCCAAACATATCTGCTAGGACTCCCCAATGCCTCTCCCTACACAGCACGCTCATTCCAATTCCTCTGCTCACAATGCTGTCACCCTGGATGCCTGATCTTAACCCTGCACTTAGAAGGGCTTCTCAGTACATCTTTGAGTTGAACATATTATTGTTTTAGTCTTCTTCTGCCCACCCCTGCATAAATTGCTCTGCCTTTCCACGTCCCCTCAAGATTTCCCATTTCTACCTTTCTTCCAGAGAAATAGTTTTAATCTCCCTGAGGCTATAGATGGAAGCATCTCTAGAATGACAGAGGATACTGAGGAATTCCAGTCTGGAGATAACTTTGTGAAAGTCAGAACTTGAACACTGAGACTATTACAAAACTGATGTGGGTTTCAGTCAAGTATAGAATGACTCTAGGCTCCCATGCATTCTCCAGATGAAGAGTTATTAGACTGTGTGAGAGACAAGGTCTAGGTAGACCGATACAGTCCTCCACCACACCCAGCACAGATACAATATGTTCTGAAGGAATACACATACAGTCACTGAATCCCAGAAAATTTCCTTCCCCAAAGCAACCTCTTGCCTCTGAGAAAAGTTCAGTTTTAAGAGCCAACATCTAGACTTAAAGCAGTCATGATCAAAAGGCAAGAAACCTGCAAAATAAGTAAATAAAGAAATTTAAAGTACCTGGCCATACAGAATTTTTAACCTACGCAGCCTGCCATACAGTGTGTACATAAATGAAATGGAAGTTCCTCTGTGAGCAAACAAGTGAGTTCAGAGGTTACATAATCAGATTAACATCTTTGTCACTGAAGATTCTAGAATATTAAGGGCATACACAACAAATCTTATTCATTCAAATTTAGTCCGCAGCAGTCTCCAAGTCTTTTATCAGAGTGGGTCTAACCTTTGAGATCTTTCTTATCCCAGTCTATTTCAAGAATTATTAATAGGCCCCCTGAGTTTGTTATCTTTGACTCAAGCACCTCGTGGTCTAAGCAAAGGCTGCCAAGAAAGAAAGGTCTCTAAGTCAAAAGTAGCATCAAGGCACCACAACCTGAAGTGTAAATCATCTACTATGACCTTGTGAGAAGAGGAGGTAAACTGCCCCCCCATATCATCTGGGGGTTTTTTCCAACAGGCAGAAACGGTATCTTTAGCTGGTCAAGAGGCGATGGCCAAAATAAAAGGACAAGATCCTGACAATTCATAAGATGCTTGTTTAACAGATGGATAGTTGAATTAAATAACATGGATATTTCTATCAGTCTCCATCTCACAAAAAAAGAATCAGCCACAAAGTAGACTGGCTACTCCAGTTTCACATTTCAAAAATAATCTTTTATGTACCTCGAGAGTTGTTCAGACCCTGGAGAAACATGTTAACTCTGCAGCAGTTAGTTGAATTATAAAAGAGTTCCTGAGCCAATAAAGGTCTCTTGTCTTGATTCAAACAAAGAGATAGTTTCTCAGCAGAAACCATCTTCATACCTTTAAGCTGCTTAATCTTTTGCTGAATTTGTCCAGGATTGAGCATACCTGGACAATTCAACTCATTGTTGTCAGCCCTGTAAATAGGGATGAATGCCTACATTGCATTTGCAGTGTTTACTCACATACACACACACACACACATATCCACAGTTGTCATCTCCTTCCTCTCCTATGTCAAGAAATTACTGAGCATTTTAACTGAGGGAAGCTGTATTTCATAATTTTGGGCGGTGGTAAAGAGAGATGAAAAAGCACCAGCAGGGTCAATCTTAGGGGAAGAGATCTGAAAAGTGGTGATTAGCAGGTATAGAAAGGAGATCTTCCATGAGTAACGTCAAAGGAAGAGTTTTTCTCAAGGTATTATTAAAATATGTATGGTAAAGACCACCCTCAGCTAGCAGAGTCACTTTAAAAGAAACAGGGCTATTGAGTTACACAGTAAAGAAAACTGTGGCTCAATACAATAATGATTCAATAAAGAACACATGGCCAAGAAAGCTGGATTCTATTTCTCTAGCCTCTATGAAACCATGAATGGTTTCTTAAATAATGTATATCTCAACCTCCTTCCCATCCCAAATATATTCATTAAAAATAAGAACTCATCATCTGAAAGATTCCGAAATTGAAAATAATGAAGTAATAAAATGAATGAATGAATGACCCTCTTAGTTTCTATCTTGTTTTTATATTTAATGCCTTGTTAGGTTTCAGATGAAATCTGCAAATTCCAGGCCTAAGAAAACTTCTCTCCTTTTTAATATTGAACAAGTAATAATTTTCTGACCTTCAGATTCCTCATCTGTAAAATGGAAACAATATACTACCACAACTACTTCAGAAGATCATTGCTGAGATTCACATGTGGTAAAACATGTAAGGAAAAACATAAATTTTAAACAGAAAAACACTTTTAAAATGTTGACTGCTACCTTATGAGGGACAGTGTTATAAACAGGAAAAAAAATGGATACAAACAAAATGAAATGGAGAAATTTCTTCCATCTGAAAGAGAAGGATAGCAATATCTGGTAAGGATTCATGTTAAGCTTCTGGCTAACACATTCAGGAAAGTGGTTTGACATAAAATTCAATTATTATTTAGAAATGGATTCTCATGCCAACACACTCACTTTGCACAGACGGCAGAAGAAAAATCAGAAAAATTAAGAGTGGGTGTCCAGCTCTTGGCTTACCAAAATAACTGATGAAGTTCCATGTGGGGAGGGAGGGTGGAGATAGCTATGACAGTCGGTACATTCAGAGTATGGTTGCATAAGGTGAAAGAAGTAAAAGCGTTATTACAGAGCATAGAACTGCAGGTTATTCACAATTCACGTAATAGACTATATATAGGGCATGCGGTTTCTATAAAGGACTTTAGGAAACAGTGGGGAGGGGGGAAGCTATTCCATAAGTATCGAACAAACATAAGTGATTCAGTAGATTGGTTCTCCATAGGGAAGCACTTAAGGAGGTAAAACTGCTAAGAAGTAAATGAGACACCCATATCACTGAGGTCAGAGATGTTCTAGGATCTAGTGTTGGGGACACAAACTGTTTTGGAACCATTACAAATCAGCAAAACAAGAGGTGTATTTCAGAAGATCTGCTTGACCTAACCCAACATGGGATGCAGTCTTTCAGAGATCTAAGACATTCTCTAACAGGGCCACACAAATAGAAAACTGAATTTTCTGAAAGGGATCAGACAAATGACACTGACTTATGAGTGACACGGGGTACAGGCACACCAACCCGACAGAAGTGAAGATGACTAATCTATAGGAATAACATCAGGGACCAAATCATGGTAACCATGACAACCCAAGTAGGTGGAGGGAAATACAAACACTGACCAGGCAGCGGGGTGACACTACTGCTTCAGGTAGAGACCCTGAGATTGGAAAAGAACTTGATTAGCGGAGGAACTAGCGAGACTAGCCCCAAGGAGCCGGGTCCTTGCAGGAGGCTTGGCACTGACACGAATTTTCTCCCTGGGGCGGTTCGCGGGGGTCACAGGCTGATCTGTAGTAACCCGACGCCTAAAGCGGAGGAGGGAGTTACCTGGTGCAGGGCTGTCAATCCGTCCACGTTGACCGTGTTGATGTCGGCACCTCTTGTCAGAAGCTTTTTCACCTCGTCAGTGTCCCCGCTAGAGCAAGCGGCCAAGAAGACAGCCCCGTCTTCAAAGCGGACCCTGGGGCTCCCACGACGCGTCTGCGATTGCCGCCCCGCGCCTCGTCGCTCCGCGGGCTCCTGTTCTGTCAGCGAGCCCCGCCAGCGCCGAAGCTGCTCAGCCCGCCGCATTCGCGCCGACTCTGCGCGCTTCCCGCCTAAGTGCTCCAGTTCCGCCATTGCTTGGGCCTCAGCAATCGCCGCTGAAACTACCACCACTAGATCGCCGTTGCTGCTCGGGTTGCCACTGCCGCCTCCCTCAGAGCGGTTCAGCCGGGAGCAGAAGGCGGAGACCCCCGCACCGCCATCTTTATTCCTCCCGCCACGAGCACCGCCCGCACGCTCACCGGGCTTCAACACGCAGGCGCTGCCCGCGCCTATGGTCATCACGGGACTTGTAGTAGCTAGCCTACCCTCAGGGCGAGCCCTGGCTTTGAGGGAACTACAAATCCCTGGATGCATCGGAAACGAGGTGTGGACCGGCTGCTCCCTACTTCGCCGTGGGACTTGGCGGGGTCACCTTTGCCCTAAAGCTGGAACTGTTTCCCGGGCTGGGGTCAGTTTCTTTGGGTATGTTGGGAGTCGTAGTTTATTCTTGTTACGATTACCAACTAGTCAGGGCTGCCTAATTACCATATCAGTCCTTTGAAGTGGAAAGGAGTAGTAATTAGCCCTTCTATTATGTCTAATCAAGTACCCAAAAGACTCAAGTACAGGTGCTGGCTCTACGTCTAAAGTTTGTTAATATTGTAACATATTAACGTGTATTAATCACGTCAACTAAATGTCTGAAGGAATGCGGAGCTTGCACACACATGTTACATGTTACACACAAATGCTTTTTCTTTCAACATGACTTTTATGCTATGCCCTGAAATATCTTGGAAAGGATGTATCCAACTATAGTGAAAAAAACCTAAGTTCCAAATTCACTTCAAATTATTTGACCTCACAGAGCCTGTATCCCTAAGTGTATAATGGGATAATACCTCAAAGGGTAGTGATGTGGATTAAATAAGATAATGTATGGAAGGATGCTTAGTACTGGAATCTATTCACAATACTCATTTCTCTTCTTTCTCTCTCCTGTACACTTTTCGTGAATTTTAAATTCTTAGGAGATAAAATGGATGTCTTGTCTTCCGTGTTCCCTCTTTCCCCTCTCCTCCTCCCCCCCTCCCTAGAAAGATATTATGGAGCACACTAAGTAAACAAGTAGGGCATTTTCATCTCTAAAAGCTGTCTGATTAATAACTATACCCCCTGATGCCTTTGCCCCAGACAAAATATAATGCGTTAATCCATAATGAAAAAGAATATATGCAATTAAACTTCTCTATAGGTTTGAAATTTTTCATTTAAAAATATTGCAAAGATGACTAGGGCATTGTAAAACAGACTTTGTTATTACTCTATCATTGATTATGCCTCGATGTCCCGATAGGAACTGAGATTCAAATGGAAAGCAATATATAAATGCACACTATTACCATGCTTAATAATATATCCATAATAGATTTTAATGGTGTATCCCTTAAATACCTTATACATACTAAGTCAGTTGTACATAATCTTTGTGAACAGTGAATAACAGTGTGCATTAATTAAGGTATAATCATATGTACTTTACAGAGCCTCATTTTCCTTGCTATATGTATTCATTTAGTTACCATAAAATTTGCCATGCTTCATCATTTATTATAGTCAAAAACTCTTTGAGATTTATTTTGCATTTTATTAACATGGAACTCAGCCTCTTGCTGATAAGTAAAATTGCCCACAAGTTCTCAAACAACTCCCCCTATTAAAGAAACACTGATAATAAATCAGATAGGAAAGCATAACTAACTAGAAGTCTAACCCTTTTCAAGAAACCATTATTAGCTAAACTTTGCCCATATGGCAAGAAGCCAAGAAAGGGGCAAAGTCTGGCATAACACAATATAAGCTAGAATGTTGGGAAATATGTCTCTGACAGCAATCCATTTTATTTTTTAAAATTTATTTATTTATGTATATAAGAACTGGGGTGTAGGTGAGAGGTATAGGGGGGTGAGAGGATTCTTCAGAGATAGACTGGCAAACAGAACAGGTAGATCTACTGAAATACACTGCTAAGAGGAGCAGTTCGAGAAGTCTCTGACACCACGTGGGGCAGCTCCTTGGCTGGCAACTGAACTTCAGTTGCAGTCCCTATGTCTTTAACCCCTGCTCCAGCAGGAAGGCCCTACACGAGTTACTTTAATATTATGTTCCTGAAATATGATAACTGCTAAAAAAAAAAAGTGTATGTATAGTTGAAGTGTAAACTTTGTTAATATATTGGCTATCTAATAAGGATTTTCTATTGGGGTAAAATTTTCAGGGATCAGTAATATTACATTTTTTTTTCTATTCAGAATCAGGAAAAAGAACCATCAGTTGTATAAGCTAAAATTGGCCAAGTCCAAGTTAAATCCTCAATTTCCCAAGAAGTATGAACTTAAATAGCAATAGGAAAAATTCAATCTCAATACTAGGAAGTTCCAGAAAGTATTTCCTTATAGACATTTTATTGCTTTGTTCCTCTCCTTGTAGTAAAAGTGTAATATATCCTTTTTAGTGTTTTTAAAGGGAAATTATGTAATAAGTTTCTTGGGATAAAGAAAAGAATGTATCTTCCAGCTATGTGATATGGAAAGCAGTTTGAATTATTATAATCTAATTGAGTTAACTGACACAGTAATAAGGCATGCCACCAAAAAAATAAAACAAATTGATCTACCTATAAATGTCTTGAAAAGTTTTTTAAAATTAAAATTATTAAGCTTGCTTTCTGAATCATCTGCTCCCTACCAGGACCCTCCTGTAAGTAAACTTTCACAATCAACTCATTAAGTAACTGTAATAGTTTAGCATTCCTAAATAAATATTCTAAAGAAAATGTTTTATATGTGAGTAAATAATGATAATTCTTTGTGTAAATCAGATACAATTTTGTGTATGTAAATGTACTTGCTAAGTGAGCCAGCTATTATGTGTTTCTGTATAAACTGGTGAAATCATTATTTAAATTAAATAATGGTTTTTAATTAAAATCATTAAATAATAATTTTCCACATCAAAAAATTACAATATTAGAGGACTCCATTTTTTAAAGCAATGATATATGTACAGTTGAAAATCTTTCTGGCAAGCATCTATACTCATCAGTGAATATATCTCCCTCTAGTGGACAAATGGAAATTTTACATGTATCATAATGAGTTTTTTTTTTTCTTTTATCTAATCCTTTCATTTGGATTGCCAAAACTATGGATATTTGCTTGTTTTATGATATCATCTCTCCTTTCTAGATTCAGTTCAGTTCCTGCATTTTCTAAGAGTTATGATTCATTTCTCAAAGAACCACCCAAGGAAGTAAGTAATGAATCCCAAATCTGAAGAACTATAATTGTGATACAATTATATTTGGGATAGGAAAAAAGTAAGGAAATATTAAAGGGATTAAAACAGAAAGTAGTCCACTAAGCAGGCAAATACAAAACTATAACAGAAAACACTTTAAATGCTAACAATGAAAGGCAGTTAGCTGGAAAGTAGACTAAACAGTAGTAGGACTCTTTATGTTCATATTACATAAACTACTTCAGTTGGTTTATTCCTATAACTATTACAGGAAAGAGTGAGGTGTACTCCCCCAAACCTGCCTGCTCTAAATGGGTTCTGCCACCGCACAAAGACAACGTACTCTAGTGCCTTAGACCTTCAAAGGAAATTTCTATTTCTTGTTTTAATGTCTCGTTTTCTTTCTTCAGTTTGTTGATTGCTTGTCTCATATCATTTTTTTTTCATTTCTTTCATTCATTTCCTTGTTTGCATTCTTCAACTCCTTTATGGCTTGCCTCATATCATTTTTTTCCTTCTCATCTTTTTGTTTATTTACCATGATGATTCTGAATTCTCTATCTGGTAGGCTAAGCACTTCTATTTCTTTGGTGGTTTCTGATGACTGATCTTTTTGTGGTGAATTTTCCCCCTGTGGACTTGCTTGAATATTTGTCTTCTTTTCCCTGTCTATATTTTCTAATACTTTTTATTCATTGTGACACAGTGTTGCTATTATTGACTGGCATTCTTTCTGGATGTTCTTTCTAGGATGGCAGAGGGACTTCCAGACACTTCAGCTGTGGTGGGTATTCTGAGCCTTGTTTTGTTTCAATATCTCCTGTTTTTCCAGCCCCCACTGTGTGGAATTATGTCTGTCCTCTCTGCCAGTGACAATCAGCAGAGAGGGTCTCTGGGGGTCTCTTGTGGAGTTCAGCTTCCTTTGGTAACACGTTGAGTACTTGTCTCTGGAAGGTGCCTGTTGATCTTTGTAGCCTTCTGATGTTCCAGGTTCCGTCTATGCTTGGATGCAGCTGTGGGGGGTAGGGTGCATTAGAAGTGTTGCAGCTGGGCCTGCGGTTGAGCCAGTCACTGGTTTTGTTTATTTTCTGAGCACTGTGAGCCTTGCAATGCAGTGCCTCGCAAGTCTTCCAGCTACTGCTGTCCAGTATCACCTTGAGTCCTAATTCTGCACGCTCTCCAGTTGTGCAGGCTGCCAGTCCTCCCTCAAGGCCTCTAGCGCTCTTTGTGCCCACTCAGCAGTCTCTCCCTGAGCAGTCTTTCCCTACTGCTTGGGGTAGTGTTAATGGGCCTGTTTTGACTCAGTCTAACCAGGTTGTTTTTTTTTCCCCCCCATTTATCTCAGGGGCTTTGTGAACTTGCTTGGCCCTGCCTTAGTGACTACTGGTGGGAACAAGCCTTCAGGCCTGTGCTGTGAGAGTGGGTGACAGGGTTGCAAGCCTTGCAGCTGCCCCAGTCACCAGATTTTCCTCCCACCTCCCGAGCTCTATGTGCCCATTTGCTTGCACAGTCTTTTCCCACAGCTTGGATTCTACTCACAGAGCGGAATGCGGGGAGACAGTAGAGCCTGGGAGCTCCCCCATCAGAGCTGCAGGGTTCCACTTACCCTGTCTGAGGCACTTCCTAGCCAGGGACCTGGGCCTTCAGAGAGGGAGTTCCCCTATTGGAGCTCTCCAATCGCCAATTCTCCCTTAGTTATCTTCCTTCTAGTGAGTTCAGGGTGCTCTCATTTGGGTTGAAACTCATAGCATATAGGTCTATGGTCCGTTTTTAGTCCTATATTCCTGTGCGAGCTTGGACGTAGTGATTTTCGGCATCTTTACTCTGCGGCCATCTTGCCTGTCACTCAGAAAGGAATTTTTAATACAATTAATGTGTGATAAAGATAAAAGAAAGAGAATACAGTTTCCAAATCAAGCACCCGAAGTTACCCATCCACTTGTGGGTAAATGCCCAATCAAGACTGGCTCAAAGAGGGCCACTGAGCCCCAAAAATCTTGCCACAAATCTTAGGCACCTTCTGGTGGGACCCATAGGAATGGGAGAGGGTGTGGCAAGTCTAGGAGGAAAAGAGCAAAGTCAAAGTCAAGATAAAGGCTACCATGGTCAACCTTCTCATGGTCTCTCACTCATGTCTGTTTCAAATGTCTCCTTCCAAGTTCCCCATACCCCCTGGTATAGATCCAAGGCCAAGAAGCAAATATCGCATCTTCATATCTCTCTGCTCCATGTGCCTGCTCCAGGTCTCCTTGATCTCCATCCTTCTCCTGTTCTCCTTAGCCAGGTCTTCTCTCTCTTCTCCTCACCACCCCACCAGCCCCTTAGGTGGAGCAAAGAACCTAGAACCTCCTCTTTCCCTCGGATTACCCTGTTACACAACTAATGTGAGAACCCCCAGGGTAGAATCTGGACAGAGCACTAGTGACTGTGAATTAAACTTGAGGAGAGAAAACACAATTACACCAGCTGCTACTTAATAACAAATTGTGCTAAATGCAGAAATTATGTGAGTCAAATTTTGTAGGTTTGCAAGTATGGGAAGAAAATGATCATTACTCTTAGGTCATCACTGTTCTAAAGCCACACAATGAAGAAAAGCAATGAGATGAGGGCCCCCCACAATATCCATCCACAGTATTCTTAAAGACTAGTCAAATTCCAGCCTTGTCTTGAGGTCATGAGTGATCCACCCTGTGGTCACCTCCGACAGGGGCAGCTCTGAGAGGTCAATCAAGGTGGGTTAGGAAAAGGTGCGCCACAGGTACAGTCTCACTTTCAGATTTACAAGAGGGTTTACAAGTCATCGGTCCCACCCATGCAAGAATCCCTTTCGCACTAGCTCTAACAAAGGGTCGCCTCACTTCCAGTGAAGAAATTCACTATCTTTTTGTTCTCCAGCGGTGAATTCATAGCCTACTTTGAATTCGCTGCCCAAACTCCACGGGTCTCAGATGTGGTCTCAAAAGCAGTAAATCATTCCATGTGAAAAAGATTTCCCTTCTCTAGGTTAAGTATCTCCAGTCCCTTCCACTGTGCCTCCTAAGAAGCCATTCCTACCTCCTTCTCGGTTCTGAACAGAAGCTGACCTCAGAGCTGCACCGGCCCACAGCGCGGGAAGTCTGAGCCGGGCAGCCCAGGTCCGCGTTGAGAAACCAGGCGGGTTGTAACGACGCACGCTCCAATTTGAAAGCGGCGCGAGCGGAAGCTGGATCTGGGCGCTGGCCAATAGGCGCTGCGTTCGTCTCCGGGGCTTTGCTTCGAGCCAATCAAAATCCTCACGAGGCGGGAGGCGGGGCGACGCCAATTCCGGAAGTGCTGGCGCGGGAACCTGCGGGGCTGGGAGCTGCTGGGTTGGAAGGTGAGTCGGTGCTGGTGAAGGGAGTTTTCAGGTGTTCCCCGTGACAGCCGAGTCCTGGCGGAAGTATTCAGGGCCTTGGGGAGGAGAAGCAGACCTGTTTCTACCTAACGTGGGGGTTTCCTCCGCGGGAAGTTTTTCTAGAAAGGCGGACCTTAGGTATCCGCGGGAGGGTTTAGAGCCCAGAATCCCCCGAGCCGTCCTCGCGTCACCGCTGGGAGAAATATGCCGCGCCGCGGCGGTGTGCACCGGCTTTCCCCATCCTCTGGTCCAGAACCCTCATTTCGTTTATGAATTACTCAGTGCGGCTGCATATTGTCAGGCATCGTTGATTACAGTTTTAAAAACCTCAACAAAGGACCTGACCTCTAGCTTCTCCCTAATGAAGGAAAGTCAGAGATGACTCAAAACCTGCGATTTATCTGGGTGTGGAAGCACTGGGTGTAAAGGGTTGGAATGCTCCCGAGAGAAGGGGTAGACGTCTTTTAATATGTATCTGTCTGCAGGTGTGGAAGAGAGAGACTTTCATGGGCCACAGAAATGTGGCTGAAGTCTAAATATGTGGGATATGAGGCTGGAAGCATGAGTTGGGCTGGATTGTAAAGAACCTTTATAGCTAGAAAATAGACAGTATGTGATGGCTTTGAGTCAAGTAGTAGATATACCAATATGTATTAATACAGTGAGGCTGGGGCTGGTTGCCTCCAATAGAGAAGTCGTCTTCCTGGTTCTCACTTTATTCTAATCCCTTTTCCATGCTTTTCCTTTGTGTTCTCATTTTCTATAAAGGTACAGTTTATTACTTGTGGGTACTTGTTTTATTGTCATTGATTCCCAGTATCTGCTTAGTGAGAAAATAGTAAGGATGTGTATATAAAAGGTGAAGTTAATTATCTAGTGGAGTAATTTACTCCAAGAGATTATGGTCTTAAAGGTGTGGCTAAGGAAATTTGGAAGTAGTTTAAAGAATCATTTATATGAAAGACTGCTGTAGTATAATTAATTCTGTTTAATATATTAATTCATCTATAGTATTATTCTGCTTATATGTTTCTGAAAGTGTGTGTTGTGGAGAAGCTGCATACCTGGAGATGAGAAAAAAAGGGAAATCAAGGGACCAAAATTAGTCTTTGAGACAGAATTCAGTAGATTGTCACCAATCAATACACATGTAGCTGCTTTTGAACAGATCTCCAGGTGAATTTCAGTGGGACACAAATTATAATCATCCTGCTAATTGCAATCTGTGTTCATCTGTAATCTGATTATAATTAGTTCCCAAATAGCAGAATATATGAAATTAAAAATCTCACTATAGTTTTGCAAATTAATAAGCTAACATTTAAATCTTTGTGAGTGAGCATGGTATTTCATTATGTACCTTTCTGCTGAACTTTTTCACACCCTTTCATTGAAAAACTGACTCAAGTGTTTTTCCATTCTCTTTCTCTCTCTTTGCTTCATTTACTTTTTGAAAAATCAGAGTCTATAAATTCTCTATCCCTTTTATTATCTGGGATCTACTCTGTGTGTCTGTTGTTATGAGCTTCTAATCAAAATACTTGCTGAACTGGTTAGTCTCTGCTGTGTGCTTGTAATCATCTGGGTCCAGTATTCACGTGTATTGGTCCTTAGGTTTTTGTTAAAATCCTGGTTGGTGAGTTGGTGCTGAAAATTAGAAAGGCACCAAAATGCTGCGTTGCCTGGCTTAAAGAAGCATGCCGCTCTCCAGTTTTATTATTTTCATTATTAATATCAATTACATTGACATATAATTCACATACCCTATAATTCACCTATTTACAGTACAGGTCAGTGGTTTTTACCCTGTTCACAGAACACAATCCATTTTCATCGCTTCTAAAAGAAACACCGTGACCGTCAGCAGTTGTTCCCCGTAGCCTTTGACAACCACTGATTTATTTCTGTCTGTAAACTTGACTTCTCTAGACAGTGCGTGTAAATGGAGCCAGACAATCTATGGCCTGCTGTGCCTGACTTCTTTCACTTGGGGTTCATCCGTGCCGTCGCACTAGCATGCGTCAATACTCATCTCTTCTCATTACTGTACAGTATTTCATTGTAGGGAGATGCCCTGTTTTGTTTATCCATTCTTCCGTTTTTAGGTACTTGGGTTGTTTGCATTTGGGGACTACTAGGAATAATGCATTATAAGCATTTGCAGATTTTTGTTTGGGCCTGTGTTCTCAATTTTCTTGGGGCTATACCTAGGGCAAGAATTTCAGGGTGGTCACAGTTGCACTATTTTGCCTTCCTACCAGCAATGTATGCGGTTTCCAGTTTCTCCACCTCCACCAACACTTAGATACCGTCTTGTGGTTTGTGGCCCTCGCAGTGTCCTTGCAGGTGTGTTCTCGGCGTGGCGCGGAGCTGCGCTGCCCTGGTGACTAGTGATGCTGAGCATCTTTGCGTGTGCTTATTGGTCATTTGTTTTTTTTTTTTTTTTTAGATTTATTTATTTGTGCATACAGAACTGGGGTACAGGCCAGAGGCTCAGGGGCAGTGAGAGGCTTCACCAGAGACAGAGTGGGAGCAGAACAGGCAGATCGACGAAGTACACTGCTGAGGGGAGCAGCGGGCGGGTCAGGAGAGGTCTGCCGCGCCATGTGGTCACCTCCGGGGCAGGCGGGGATCGAACTCGTGGAAGTGGCTTTAGCTTCTCAGTGCTGTGCTTTAACCCGCTGCGCCACCAGGGAGGGCCTGGTCATTTGTATTTTCTTTGGAGAAATGTCTATCCAGGTCTTTAACTGGGTTATTCACCTTTTATTATGGAATAATTTATAGATTTTTAGATACAAACAAGCCCCTTATCAGGTATATATGTTTGTAAATTTGTGACTATGTACTCCCCTCTTGTGTATTATCACTTCTTCACGATAATCTTTGGAGCAGAAACTTAATTCTGATGAAATCTAATATATTTTTCTTGTGCTCTTGGTGACATATGTAGGCCCAAAGTCACAAGGATTTCCTTTTAGGTTTCCTCATTGTTCTACTTAACCCCCTTAATTTTTGCCAGATAAAGAATTCTAAGTGAACAGTTTTCTCTCTTCATTTTCTTGTTCTTGTGTTTTTCTGTGAGCTGTTTCTTAACTTTCTTGTTTATCACTGGTTTTCTGCAGTTTGCTTAGTATGTGCCATAAACTCTTCATGTTTCTTGTGCTTGTGAATTTTCAAACATCACTGCGTTTGTAGCTCTCATCACATTGCGGGGGGACTTAGCTCTAGGTCTTCAATTTTCTCTGCCCTGCCCCATTCTGAGAGTCTAGGTTACATTATATAACGTATAATGTCCCAAGCTCACTGATATTGTTTGTTTTTTCCATTTTGGGGGGGGGGTGGTTATTATCAGGATGAAACTCAAATTTAACTGGGTGTCCTGTATTTGGCAACCCTTGTCCAGACTCCAGTGGGGCACAGACTGTGTAAGAGCAGCATGGCTCTATCTTTCAGGCGTTTTGTTGTTAGACAGGTTATCAAGGTAGGTTTGGTTACAGAACTAGGGCACTGGGCAGCTAGCAAGGGGGAGCCGTATTGCACCTCTGATTGTGAGGCTACAGCTCTACAGTTGGTCTTAGAAAATTGGTTTAAAAAGAAAACTGGTTTGAGAGAATTTGTGATTGTGCTTGATAGTTAAGCAGTCTTGGCTGAGAGGAGATGAAGATAAGTAGCTGGAAATTGGTCACAACCTACAAGCATACAAGAGATCTGAAAACAGGTTTTAAGGGGAGAGGAGATAGGACTTTTTTCCTATAAAAATCTTACTACTTGTACTATGAAGTGATCACTCTTTAAAAAGTACTTATTCATAGTCAAACATCCAGAGTTAACCACTAATTTTAAATAGAAAAAGCAAGCCATTTCACTTTTTGAGGCTTTTTAAATTATGTGTCTATAAAAAATGTTGAGCTAGATGATATCTAAAGGTGCTTTAGTACTAAATACAGTGAGAGTTAAATCATTCTGTCCTTGTTTTACTTGGGAGAAAAGTAAAGGTATGGTAAGTGTAAACATTAATAGATTAAACATGTAACTTAAACCTCTTTGATAATTTCTTAAAGTAGTACAAATATGGATTAAAACTTTCAAGCTGGTGGGCCCTCCCTGGTGGCGCAGCGGGTTAAAGCACTGCACCAAGAAGCTTAAGCCACTTCTGCATGAGTTCGATTCCGCCTGCCCCGGAGGTGACCACATGGCGTGGCAGACCTCTCCTGACCTGCCCGCTGCTCCCCTCAGCAGTGTACTTCGTAGATCTGCCTGTTCTGCTCCCCACTCTGTCTCTGGTGAAGCCTCTCACCCTCCGCATCTCTGGCCTGTACCCCAGCTCTCTATGAATAAATAAATAAATATTAAAAAAAAAAAAAAACTTTCAAGCTAGTAGAGAGGGAAAATGGAACAAGAAAATAAACAGTACAAAAGAAGAAAAAAAGAAGCTTTAGACAAGAGGGTAAACAGATGGTGTCACTAATGTTTGGAATATAGAGAAACCAAATATAGGGGACCGATGAAGACAAACTTAAAAACCTTGAAAGCTGACTATGGAGCTGAAATATTGGGTGGAGGAGAGGGTGAGGTGAGTAAGAACAGAGGGAAGAAAGTATGATGGGCAGTGGTATAGACTGGGTGATTTGGTAGTGGGTGTTCTACAGTGGCCATACCTACTAGGGGGGTCTTAGTGTCAACTCAACTAAAAGAATAAATAAATAATAAAGAAAAAAAGATGAAATGGAATGTAGGAACAAGTCTAAATATGTCAGTAATTATGATTATGATAGATTGTTTGGAAAATGGCCGTAATTCCTCCCAACTGTTTTTGTATGACCCCTTTGCATATGATTTTACCAGTTCTCCCATCAAAGGTAGAAGAGCTTAGACCTCCTTGTCTGATCTGCTGCCAGTACAGCTTCCAAATGACTTCAAATAAAGGCTCCAAAAGGTCTAGTAGAGAAGCCACATAAATAATCCCAGTCAAGAAGTACTATTTAACTCAGCTCAGCTTAAATTGCTGACCTGCAGAATTATGAGCAATTAAAAGTTTTTTTTTGTTCAGTAAGTTTTGAGTGGTTTTACCCAAAGGTGACTTGACATATTGATAAATATAGACATAGAGAGTGTACCAGTTAAAAGATACAGGCTGGGTTTAAAAATCCAAACTTACATAATAGGCACTTCTAAAGTCTAAAGGTACAGAGAACTTAAAAGTTAGGGGATAGGCCCTCCCAGGTGGCGCAGCGGGTTAAAACACAGCACAAAGAAGCTTAAGCCACTTCCGCATGAGTTCAATCCCCCTGCCCCGGAGGAGATCCACATGGGGCGCCAGACCTCTCCTGACCCACCCACTGCTCCCCTCAGCAGTATAGACCTCTTCTGACCCACCCACTGCTCCCCTCAGCAGTATACTTCGTCGATCTGCCTGTTCTGCACCCCACTTTGTCTCTGGTGAATCCTCTCACCCTCCGCATCTCTGGCCTGTACAAATAAGTAAATCTTTAAAAAAAAAAAGGGGGGGGGGGATAAAAGTTAATATTGCAGGCATGTAACAATGGAAAGCCAGGGAAACTCTAATATGAAATATTCTTTAAATAAAAGGGATTACTAGATATCTAAAATTATAAGGCAAATTGACAATACTAAAGAAGAAAATAGAGATTTCACGTCAATATCAACTATCAATTAAACTAAATAAGTGATTTTAAAAGAAGGGGAAAAATTAGTACAGATGTCGAAGATTTGAACTGGAAATTCTGTAGTGGCATATCTAGAACACTGCCCCCAGTAACCTTGGGTTAGACATTCTTTTAAGTGCATTTGGGACAGTTAAGAAAATGGACTGTATATATTTTCAATAAAGCAAGACCACCAATTTCAAATGATGTCCAAATCTACCGAAATCTATGACATATATTGGGAACTCCCACATATTTGAAAATAGGCAACCTGTTTCCTAAATAAGTCAAAGAAGAACTCATACAGAAATTCGGAAAAAATTGAGGTAATCTATGTATCAAAACCCCAGAATACAGTGGTATTGAGAAGATGTGTTCACAATTGTAAAGAACAAAAATGGATAATTACGTAAGCATCTAACCTAAGAATGAAGCAGGGGCAGGGATGGAAAGCAAAAGGGTGGAAAGAATAAAAATAGTCATAGAAATTATTTAGATAGAGAACAAATTTCCAACAGGGAATTATAAAATGTTCTTTGCATAGACTATTAAAATGGACACATGCTTGGCAAGACTGATGGAAAAAATGAAAGCTGGTACAAATAAGCAATGTTAGAAATGAAAATGGAACCATAACTGTAGATACTACAGGAATTAAAAAGATAACTACAAGTAAATAAAAATCTGGATGAAATAGATAAGTTTTTGGAAAAATTTAATTTGTCAGAGTTGACTCAAGGGGAAATAGAAAACTGGAATAACTCTAATACTTAAAGAACTTGGGTTTGTAGTTAAAAATCTCTCTTTGAAAACACTAGCATCAGATGGAGTTCTGCCAAAATCAAAGAATGGTCTCCCAGTTTAGTCCATAATATATTAAAAAAACATTCTCTAACTCATTTCATAGCATGACCTCGACACCTGGTAAGGACAAAGTTAAAAAGAAGAGTTACAGGCTGATATTACCTTATGCAGAATGTTGAAAGTTTTTCCATTAAAGGTAGAAATAGAGCAAGAACAGCATTATTCAACAGTGTACTTGAAATTATAGCTAGCACAGTAGGACAAATTTGATCACCTCAAACAGATCCACACACATGAAAATTGAATTTATGACAATAGCAGGGAAAGGATGGACTTTTCAATAAAAAGTTCTAGGACGGTGGAAAAAAAATCGGACCCCTTTTCCTTCTATATGCAAAAATCAATTCCTAGTAGATTAAAGTAATAAATGTGAAAGCATATTAATAATATCTAAGTTTGAAAGTAAAGAAAAATTTAACACACAAAAAGTGTGAATGTAAAGGAAATAATTTTGTGATTGACTTTATTAACATTAAGGGTATGTGTTCCTCCAAAGACACCATGAATCAAGAGGAAAGAAAAGTTGTAAACTAGGATGGTATTTGTAGCTCAAATTAAAAGGTTGGCATCCTTTGAGTAGTAGCTAGAGGGATACTAGAGTTAAGGAGGGGTTTGAGTGGGTGTGTGTGTGTGTTTGAAATAAGAGAGAATTTAAGTATATTTTAAAGTTGATGGGAAGAAGAAAAAACTGGAAATACTAGGGAAAGATGGAATAATTGGTGGAGTGGGACTTCTGAAGAACTGGGAGCAGATGGGGTCCAAAATACATGAAGATAATCTCAGACATTTAAGCATTAGCTTATAAATATCTCAAGAGCGTTGACTATTTCTGTGTCTTTCTTCTTGCTCTCCTCACAAAGCACATGTAGACTTCCTTCCACAGCTAACACTTGTCAAGCCCCTTTCTCTGTGCCAGGCTTGCTGAAGATGTAGTGTGAGCAAAATTAGACACAGACACTGCCTCATGAGTTTATAATTTATTAGTGGAAACAGACATTAATTTAAAACATGCAGTGTTTTTGTTGTTTGTAGAATTTTTTTGCACTTCTTCTGCTTTATTTTTAAAATGCATTTGCTTGAATAGATAACAAGAAGGAAGTGGAAAACTTCAGACTTAGAATGGGGATTAATACAAGTAATCCATTTGTCTTTGGCTAAATTGAAACAGCGTGCTAAAAGCTCTGCAGCCATCTTGCTGCTTAGTTTATGCTTGTCCCTTTCCTCCCAGCAGCTCTTACTGTGAAGGAGGGAGCTTTGGGATTCCTTTCGTTGGTGGATCATGCAGAGAGCTTCGAGGCTGAAGAGGGAGCTGAGCCTGTTAGCCACAGAACCTCCCCCAGGCATCACGTGCTGGCAGCATAAGGACCAAACGGATGACCTGCGAGCCCGTGGGTATCACACACCTAAGATGAGAGTCATGGTCCTGGTAAAGATTGTGCTGAAATTCAAACATTCGTGTAGTCTCTACCATAGGGAGCAGTTGGAAGGTTAATGTGCCCTGCCATCTTTCGGTACCCTAATTCGTTTACATTTCGACAAGTTTTGCTTGACATTTTTTCTTTGGCCTTTTTATGGCACCTTTTGCTGATTTATAGTCAAGATTTTGGCATCAGCTCTTAAGCAGTCGTTAGACCAAAGATCACCCTCTCAAATATCTGTTGGACAGACAGGAAACATAAATAAGAATACTGGGGTCCAGGTAAAACAATCTGTAAATTTTATTTGACTTGTGGCCAGCATTTTTCAACTCCATTTGTCCTCTTAATACCATTAACTTTTAAGGGTGTGTTGCTTGAGGACTTGTTAAAGCACTGAGGTAGATTTTTTTATCCTAGACCCAACTTCTCTGTTAGGACCATAAACTCTTTCAGAACCTCGTATGGTGTGGCAATTCAAGTAATCCAGTTTCCTTTTAACTTTTCTTTTAAGAAATATTGGGTGGAGCCAACACACCTTATGAAAAAGGCCTTTTCAAGCTAGAAGTTATCATTCCTGAGAGGTTAGTATGAAGTCAATTTTAAACTTTCAAGGAAAAGCAGTAATTGGAAGAGCATTGTAGTTGAGTGTTAAATCTAGGAGTTAAAGAAGCAGCATTTAAGTTCCAGTCTTGCCATGACTTAACGTGTCTGTGGGCAAGTTATTTTATCTCTCTGGAGTTTACTTTCCTTCTCTAAAAAATGGGCTAAATCACACCTAAGGCTCCTCCTGTTTTCGTTTGTGGGAAAATATACCTAACAGAATTGACCTGTTTTTAAGCAGAAGTTTCAGTGGCCTTAAATACAGTCAGTTTTGTGCAGTCCTCGCCACTGTCCACCCCCAGAATGTTTCCATTTTCTCAAGCTGAAGCTCAGACAGGAACTTGGCAGTTCTCCCGCCCAGGACCTGGAAACTGCCATTCTGCTTCTGACTCTACATGAGGGGCCCTTGTAATTCAGATCTCCTTTAAGACTCTCAGCGAGTAAATTACCATTTTTATAGTTGTGTGCAGAATTGGAAGGAGGCGGGGAATGAATATCTAACCATTGATATGTAGACATCTCTTCACCTGGTCAGCTCCTGACCAAACTTGTTAAATTCCTGAGAGAAGTATCTTAGTGATCACATGTTACATCAGTTCTGAAAATAGACTGGGAATTCTCCAAGGTTTGTGTCTCATGAAAGAGAAATAACCAAATGCAGTGTATAATCTGAATGAGATAGAGTTTTGGAAAAGCTATAAAAAATATTGGGACGATTGAGGAAATCTGGCAATAGAGAAGATTGGCATCCTTACTCTTAGGAGATACGTGCATTCTCAGAGCGTTAGGTGGCTTCCCCTCCAGGGAATAGGTGTTATTATGGTTTTAATTCCATCATTTCACTTTGGGACAATGAAAAGCTTGCCTCCCAAAGTCTGTCTTCTGATTAGTCACCAGGAAATTGCTTATCATGTAGCAAGCAGCAGGGTTACTCTGAAAATTCTCTGTTGTCCTGTACTTTCAAAGGTACCCATTTGAACCTCCTCAGATCCGATTTCTCACTCCAATCTATCATCCCAACATAGACTCTGCTGGAAGGATTTGTCTAGATGTCCTCAAATTGCCGCCAAAAGTGAGTGGTGGGTAAAGGGGTGATACCGCGCGCTGTGACCCTCATTTCTAAAACTGTTGAGTTAGCGTGCCATAGTCTCACTAATATGGAAGCTCGCGCCGGTCTGTGTGTGCAGGGAGCCTGGAGGCCGTCTCTCAACATTGCGACTGTATTGACCTCTATTCAGCTGCTCATGTCAGAACCCAACCCCGATGACCCGCTCATGGCTGACATAGTAAGAGATTCTTCCTTGGGGCGGGTCACCACTGCTTACCATTGCAAATCACTTTTCTCGCCACTGACTTCTTTATTTTATCTCAGTCCTCAGAATTTAAATATAATAAGCCAACCTTCCTCAAGAATGCCAGGCAGTGGACAGAGAAGTATGCGAGACAGAAACAGAAGGTGTGTTTGTACAGCTCTGGTTTTGCTGCTGGTGTTAGCCATGCTAAAGGTGTCTATGTCTGTGTATGTACACATTCACATTTTTACTGTATCCTACAATGACAGGTTGATTTTTTTTCTCTCTATTGTAACCTTGTGAATGATTTTACCAATAAAAAAACAATAGGTTTTCTGAATTGTTGGCATCTGTAGACAACACTAGAGGGCAGGCTGCAGCTGGTTGAGTTTTGTTATATTTTGGGGGGTAGTTTGGAGAGCTGGGAGATACTTGAATTCTCTTTAAGTTTGTTTAGGGACTGTTTACAGGAATCAGAAAGATGGAGGGAGGGAGGCACAAGAGGGAGGGGGAGATCAACACTTCCTTTGGGGTCACTCATGAAAGAAGGATGAAGGGAAAACCCGCCCGCTTTAAGTTGATAGGATTTTCTTATGTGAGGAAATACAGATTACAGGAGTGGGGAGATTAGCACATTCTGGTTCTTTCTGGTCAGAACATCCTTCAGACTGGGTTAAGTAGCAGCTACGTGTTGCCTGTGGAAAGGAAAAAAAACATGTAAGGAAGATGCTGTCCCTTTGACGTTTACACCACAGTGAGAGGTGACAAGTACTTGGGAAGAACATTCCAGTGCCTCAGTGTTCCATCCTGGCACTTGCGTGCCTCTGTCTGTATTTCACCTTTCACCCTCTGCCCCTTCTTAGGCTGACGAGGAAGAGACGCCTGGTGACCTGCCAGAGGCCACAGACTCAGAAGTACACAGCACAGCGCAGAAGAGGAAAGCCAGGCAGCCTGGAGGTGGAGAAAAGAAATTTTGCCCTGATGTCTAGGGGTTTATTCTGACTCATCTTAGTTAATATATTCCTTGCCAAGATGGCCTAATTTGCCTACCTTTCTTGCATGTTTTTCTTTGCAATGATGACATTCTTTTTTTTATGTCCTATAAAACAGATCTTGTATATTTATATAATCCGCTGTACCTCGATTCTCTGAGTATAGTTTGTTTTATTTAACTTGTACATACGTATTTTGAAGCCTTTTAAACCTGAAAAATAAATAATCACTTAATGTTGAGTATGTGTTTATTCTGAATGTGCGTCTGGGAGCAAACTGGCCGGAGAGCTGTGTATGAATGTAAAAATATTTGGAATTGTTGTCCTTAATTTTGCCAACTTATCAACATCACTAGGGACACTGGATATTTGACAGAGATGCAAAGTAACTGTTAGAAACAGCTCAGTTACCACCAGGCTTTCAGTGACTCAAGGTTTTTAGACGTTTGAGCATAATATGATAGGCATTAGACAACAGGCATTTTGTTAATTTTTTTGCAAGTTCATTTTATGTAATTTAAATAGCTGGTCAGAATTACTATGGTATAACTTTCACTTGGTCAGTAAATATTGAACACTTACTATGTGCTAAGGTTTACACTAGTGTTTTAGAAAATCAGGCATGGGATTAATCACATATATTTTAATAGAAATTATTACAATCCCTTTCTGTCTGTAGCTCCACTTTCTAGATAGTCCCACTTTTAGCTAGTATGCTACCGAACTTGAATCCTCCACTCATGATTTTTAATACACTTAACTTCTTTTCATTCTTTGTAGATAACAGTGGTAACAGATTTGAGCAGAAATCAGTTGCAGTGAAAGACTGTGTGTGTACTAGGACTGCCGAGGCAAAGAAGAAAGCCAGTGTCGTCCCTGTTCGTGTGCTGGTATAGCAGTGACTTTGTCCAGGCGGGCGCCTGCGCAGAAGTGGGCACTTCCCGCTCCGCCCTATAGGAGTCACCTGTACAAGCCCTCGGCGGCAGCCTGCATGTGTGTGCGTGGCCCCAGGACAAGCAGAGGGCATGAAGCATGACTTCATGTGATTAGCAGTGACACACGATGGCAAAATACTAATTTCCTTTGTATCCCACATGTTATACATTTCCAACTGCAGAATTTTGAAACACTTCCCACTCTGGCCCATACCCCGCTTTATCCTGATTACTTGTAATTATCACACTTGTACTTACTGAAAAGGAGTTCATTTATGCACCTGTGTAATTGCAAGTAACAGTGGAACCCAAAATCACTAGCAGTCATCTCTCCATGTCTGACTTAGCAAGAACAAGGTCTTGGGTTAGAGAACCGAAGTGGTGTGCCTGAAAATTAGAGAAGCGGGCTTCCCCTTGCAGCCCAAGGAAGACCGGGAAAGGGTTCAGAGCAGAGACTCAGTTAAAGAAGAGCCGGTTCCAGTCCAGGTAGTGCTGCTTACCAGCTGTGTCCTTAGCCCACCACCCAGTCGCTCCGTTTCATAACAACAGCACCTAAACTGTCAGAAGACCTGAAAGACGTGATTCACGTAAGGTGCGCAGTAAGGTACGTACCGTAAGGTACGGGCCCTGGTGTGTTGCTGACATTTTTTGAGTGCTGAGCAGGAGACTCAGGCTGGGACAGCAGTCCGACCACAGGTGGCCCCAAGGAGCTGCTCTGGCCAGAGCCACTCGCCAGTCTGCTCTGTTTCCCGGGCAAGCAAGCCGAGCAGTTTCTCAGCTCCAAACCCCTAATTAAAGGGGAGAGATGACATCCATGACTGATCATATAAACATTGCAGATTCCAAGCTCTCCTCTCCTGCTGCCCCCAGTCCCTCTCCCCACCTCTCCCCAAAAGCTATCTAAATAAGAACAGATTTTACCACCCACCTTGTGGGCAGCCTCCGAGCTAAAGCTGGGGACTAGCTATTTATCCTTTCGCTGCTGCGGGAATTCAACACATACAAATAAAGCTCCTTTTCCAGCCAAGTGTGTATTTTTCCATCGGCGTGTGGCCCCCCTGCCCAGGTTGTCTTGTTTAGGTTGGGGCAGCCTGAGGGAGGAAGGGACAGAGCGGGTGTGGGGCTGCGGTTGCAGAACCTGCCGCTCAGGGTGGATGACTGCAGGCAGCCTGGAGTCCTACACAGTGAAGTCCAGAGAGGTTGGGCGGTGGACACACGTGCTCTGCACAGAGACAGACATTCCACTTTCTCCCTTCTTGGCCAGTCGCCCCTAGCTCCTGCCATGGCCCCCAGAGTGTGCCATCCCTGACTCCAAACCTCAGCGTCTACCAGGGATGCTAGGCTCTCCAGTGCCTCCCCTTTTCCCCCGCCCCACCCATGCTCCAGGCTTTCTTCTCTTCACGCACATGCTCTCTGCCTTGCTGCCCCCCCAGACCCACCATCCTACTAGACCACATCTGTCCCCTTCCTTCTATTGCTTGTGCTGTTTAAGCAGGACCTCGCGACTCTGCTTCAAAAATCAGCCTTGAGGGATCTTTTCCAGCAAACCTCTCATCAAAATTAACTTCCCTGGAGGATGCATTTTTGTTTTTCTTTTCTCTAGACCTGGGAATTCTGTTTGAGCCCAGACAGATTCTGGTAGTGAAGTGGTGGTGCCTTCTGGGGGAACATTCATCTTGCTCTTTTGAGGACTCAGACCTACCTCTGAAGGTGAGCAGGGAGGCCTCTTCCCTCAGGGATCATTCTCGTTCCAGCACCAAGACAGCCTCTTGGCCAGGCTTCCGGCCCCAGCTTTCCAGCTCCCTCAGGGGCCGCCCCACTGGGTACCCTTCCTCTTCTATCTCAAGTGTTCTCAAAGCTGAGCAGTAGGACAACTAACAGACCCTAATCAACTCCCTCATTTCCTTAAGTTGCATTTGTGATAACAATTGCAGCTAACTTTTCTCAAGCACTTACTATGTGCCAAGCTCTAAGCTAACCTTTTTACATAAAAAATCTTAACTATGAGTAGGTGAAACAAGTAAAAGCAGAATTCTGGTGTGCTATCTTTTGGGTAGAAAGAAAAGGTAAGAATATATATGCTTTTGCTTTCAGAGGCACAGAGAAACTTTTCAAGGATATTTAAGAAGTCAACAGCAGTGGTAACCAGGAAGTCTGAGAAGTGGGCAACAAGGAGCAGGGAGAAGATAAAAGCATGTGTTATGCCTTTTGCAGCAACATGGATGGAGCTGGAAGGGATCATGCTTAGTGAAATAAGCCAGAAAGAAAAAGGAAATTACCGGATGGTTTCACTCATAGCAGGAGCATAAAGGACCAGAGGAGAAAATAATAATAATGAACAACAATATACCAGAGATATTTTATGGGGTGGAGTGGGAATGGGATCAAAAATGGGGGCTGGGGGGAGAGCACTGCACTATGGTGATGGCACACAGGTGATTTGGTGATGGGAAGCCCACGGGGATTACAGATGAGATGGAAAAATGCACAAGATGATGTAAAAATAAACTATTATATATAAAAAAGCATGTATTATTTGAACCATGTGGATGTATCACTTATTCAAAAATTATATCTGTCCTGTTTTGCTGTTCAAGATGTCAAAGAGAGGACATGGGGGTCCTCCGGTAGGAAACTCTGGATTTCCTCAGTTCCCCTGTAGAAGCCGTGATGGTCTAGGCTGATAACACAGGAGCCAAAAGCTGGACACCCTCTGTGTGACGAGAATAAAGGGGTGACCGAACAGATTCCCTCCACTGGTGTGGCTGCCCTGGCGTTGGCCACCGTCAAGAGAAGTAGACCAGAGCTCGAAGGAGCTCTCATGACTTTTGATGGCCAAAAATCATATCACAGAAAAGATGGTGTATGTCTTTTTCTTTTAAGATTGTATTTATTTATTTTTGTATAGAAAACTTACTCTCTAACAAAGAGTAAGAAGATTCATCAGAGACAGTGTAGGGAGCAGAACAGGCAGATTGACTGAAATACACTGCTGAGGGGCACAGGTGAGACAGGAGAGGTCTGCTGTGCCCTGTGGGTCAGCTCCCTGGCCGGGGATTGAACTCAGGTAGTAGCAGTGATAGCGCTGAGTTTTAACCTGTAGGCCACCAGGGAGGCCGGTGTATGTCTTTACTTGGAAGATACTCTGGGGTCATAGTGAACAACAGAGGGAAGAGGGAAGGTCCTGCCATGACTGGATCAGTTGCAAAAGAATGTACAGACTTATGACCAGGACTGCACCCAAGGCAGGTGGCATTGCATGATTCTTATGTGTATTTGTAAAAAATAACTCATTAAAAAATTACTTGTCCGGCCCTCCCTGGTGGCACAGCAGGTTAAAACACAGCACTGAGAAACTTAAGCCGCTTCCGCATGAGTTCGATTCCCGCGAGGTGGAAGGTGACCACATGGCGTGGCAGACCTCTCCTGACCCCCGCGCTGCTCCCCTCAGCAGTGTACTTCGTCGATCTGCCTGTTCTGCTCCCCACTCTGTCTGGTGAATCCTCTCACCCTCCATGTCTCTGGCCTGAACCCCAGTTCTGTATGAATAAATAAATCTTAAAAAAAAAATTACTTGTCCCCAGAAAAAAATTAAATTTGTAAAAAGCTTTTTAAATCCCAGGGGTCAGGAGGCAGTATGTTTGTGCAGCCGAGAAGCAGCTAGAGAGCAGAGCGCCCTTCAGAGGGCAGCTCAGCCACCAACAGGGCCGCAGGGGAATAATCGCGACTCCCATTGCTAGAACCCCCCAACTCTCCTCCCCACTTCTCAGACTCTGCGAGACCCAGCCCTCCTCCCCTTTCTGGTCATCAACTTGCTGAGATTCTGCCTTCCTTATTGCTTCTCACACACCCTCGAAAAAACATGGGTTTGCCTAACAAGAGCAGCTGAAGGCCTTTCCTGCAGCTGGCCAAGAGGTGGCGGGGTTTGGGGTTCTGTCTTCAGTAGGAGCAGAGCACAGGTGCTCCAGAAGGCACCACTTGTCCTCTCCGAGGGCCAGGGAGGTCTCATACCATGTGAGCATCTCATCCCCCGGGTGCCTCGAGAGCCGTTCCCAGGACATCGTCCTACTGTGCGTTGTGTGTGTGTGGAGGGGGATTTCCAAGGAAGAGCTTGAGCAAGGAAGGTCATCCAAGGACTAGATGGAGAAGAAAGCAAAATGATTCTTTGGGGTTCACAGTACCAGGAAACCCCAGTAATAAACCTGGATCTGAGAGGTGCTTGGGATCTGAATAATAAGAAAGCCAACTTGATCACTGCTTCTTTAGAATGTTCTCTCTTACCAACCTGTGCCAAGCACACAAAGAGAACTAACTAGGGAGGATGGAGTGGATTGCAATCTCTCCCAGCTTCCACTCTGACCTCCTTGGCCATGCCTCAGACTCTCTCATGTCCCCTCCCTAGAAGCAGTCCACCACTGGTCAAACCCCGCAGCTCCCCCAGAGACAGCAGAAAGAAGCTGAGGAACACAGATGAGACTTCACTGGTGCTTTATTACACAGAAGAATCCAAATATTTATGTCTTGACAATTCTTATACTTCTCACAGCTGGAGAGGGCATGGGCTGGGACCCAGAAGTGATGGGGGTAGGGGTGGGAAAAATGTGCTTCGCCAGAACAGAGGTGGTTAGAGGAGACGATGCCACAAAGGATCAAGTGTTCTTGATACCTCCCTCATCCTCGCTTTTCAGGCCTACCCACTGTCAACTCCCTCCCAACTGTCAACTCCCAACTTCCCCTCCCTCAATCCTCAAAACTTTTATTCTTCCTGAAAAGGGAAAGTTGGGAAGGAGGTTGGAAACTAGAGTGGGGAGAGGAGGCAAAGTGAAGGCCCAAGTTGAAGCTCTGTTAATTCAGTCTTCAGATCTCAGCACTGAATTTAGAGTTTTCCTCTTGATGTATACAGAGTGAAATGATGATTCGCTATAGGAAGTTCTCCACAAATTGGTCTGAGGGGACACTGGTTGGCATGTGTGCCAAGGGACACCCATCCAGGGGGCAGACACTCACACAGCAATTCCCAGCCTTCTCACCCCCACGGCCACATGGATGGATTCTTCCCTGGCGAGACCATCTTGGAAGATTTTGTCAACCAAATAAAATGTATTTACCTGTATCGAATGGTTTGGATTATGCTTGTGTATTTAGTCAGAGACTTACATACTCATTGCAATTGTCTGCTGGCCACGGGAGAGCTAAACCACAGGAGTAGTGCCCCATGTAAGATAGAAGTCAAAACCAAGGAAGCTTTACATCACCGTCTTATTTTAGGTAAACAGACAGCATCTATTAGGCTGTTCGAATAATGAAGACAGTTCATGGCAAACACCCCCCACTGCTTCCTCCACCCCAGCCTCTGATCATAAGGTCTAGCCTTGGCAGGTGCCCAGATTTTTAGATGATAAGATGACAGCAGAGCCAGCCTAGAACCAGCAGGGCCAGCCAAAAAGCACTGACCCCTTTCTTAAGGAAGAGGCCCCCGCAGGGAACATCTCCCATAAAACTAACACATGGCGGTTCCACTCCACACACCCCTTGGTCAGCACCCCCACTCCAAAGGGGGACAAAGATCTCCTCCTAAGCAACAGGAACAGCTGAGAGGTGGAAACGGGGTGACTTCCTGGAAGTCAAGTCTCCCCAAATCACACCAGCTTTGGCCTCTCTGGGGCATCCGAGAACATTCCTTTCCACGAAGAGCGCCGATACTCAGTAACCAAAGTAGAGGACATTTCTTCCATCAAGGACTATAGGCCAGCCCCAGAGAATAGGGCACCGGGGTTCTCAAATAACCAATTTATGAATGAATCCGTCATTGTGAGTGTGTACTCTGAGGTTGACCTTGTGTGAGGACCCTAAGTTTCTTTTGTGATTATTTCAGAGCCTGTAAGCATCCGGGCTACTCAGCTGGTCAAAGAAGATTTAGAAATGTGCCAAATTCTATCCATGGTCCCTGCCAGCCCTCACAGCCTGTTGACCTTTTAGAATCCCCACTAGCCACTGGAAGCAGCAGGGAGAGAGAAGGAGAAACTGCACATTCCGTCTTCTCACCTCTAACCTGGGAAAGACGGGTCCCACCTCAGGAAGCTGTCTGGGACAGGGACAGGGAGAGTAGGACCCACGTGTCCTATACAAGGAGTTCCTCAGGGTTGTCTTGAGAGAGGAACCCCTAGTAAAGGCCTGGCTGAGGACCAGGAAGACTGTGTTCCAGCCTTCAGGCCAGATTCCCGTCTCCTGTTGTGATCTGACTGATGTTGGGGTGTCCTGGGAAAAGCCTCACCCTTTTTCTGAGTCTTGGCTGATATTTCCATACCTGCAGGAGTCATCTTTGATGTCTGCAAGAATGTCCCAGCCTCCCCTCTCATGCTGGGTTGCAGTGGTGTGTGTGTGTGTGTGTGTGTGTGTGTGTGTGTGTGTGTGTGTGTGTGTGTTTGGGTGAGGAGAGAGCACTCTGAAATACTCGGGCATTTTATAAACCCTAAGAAAGGAAGGTTATGAAGGGAGAGGCAGAGGGTCATGGTCTGTTTGGGCACCCAGGAGACTTACCCTTACAATGCTTCCTACAACACAGCACACACAGCACAACTATCTCTCCAGTTTACTGCCTGAGGGTTCCCTGTCCCGCAGAAAACGGAGGGTCAAGACTGTGGCAGGAGGCAGCAAGGAGCGTACGGTAGCCAAACGAAGACAACTTGGAGCCAGAGGAAGCAGACAGCCTCAGACTCCCTTACGAGTGTCCTGCCAGTCTTCCTCTGGCTGAGAAGTTGCACTGGTGGGTGGGTTTGCGAAGGGCAGGACACATATGGGGTCCTTTCTCCCTGCCCCAGTGCAGAAGGCACCCAGGGGAGGGGTGGGAAGATCGTGTGTGCAGGGTCAACCCCAGCTGATAGAACCATCAGCTGTCCAGGCCCAGGTCCAGCTCCTGGGATCAGAAAGTTGAGGATTGGTGGCATCTTGTGTCAGCCCCAGGCGGCCCAAGGTACAGAGATGAACTTCTGAGAGAGCAGGGCTAAAATCCATGTGACGTTCATAGACATTACATGAGAACCAACCAACCAACACAACCTGTTGTCAAATAGTTTGGGGACCTGGGTTTATGAAAGCTCAATAGCTGTTACAGCTGCAGGACTTGTCAGAGCCTTCCCCACACCGCGAGTCTCTAAGAAGGGGACAGATTATGTAGTATCTTCCGTAACTCATTTTACAGGCTGTCTTTTTGCATGGCTTATGTCAAGGTCAGTGGACACAGACCTTAGACCTCGCCCATCCGCGACCTCGCCTATCTGCGAGTCATGGGGAGACGCCCACGTATCTTTGGTGCTTGCCTTATAGGCTCCTCTGTGAGGTGCCTCATCCCTTGTTCTTTGATCCTGCTCAACTGCCCCTCACCCCCACCCCCGCCACACACTCCCCGACCCCAGTCACTGTCTTTTCAGTTTTCTCTTCTCCCTTGACAGGGCTGACTGAATGCTGAGGATGGCCAACAGGAGACCAGGCCATAAAGAGCACACTGGGGTGGCTGTGGGAGAGAAGAGCCCCCGGGGACGGACCGTGCTGCTGTGGACCACACTGTTGAGTTTTGTTTGTATTTATTTTACAAGCAGCCATCATTCATGAAGGGGGAAGAGAGAAAAGGGACGAGACGGGAAGAGAAGAACAGGGAAGGACGTTTATAAGTGTGAAGCAAAGGCCGAGCCAGCGGGCTGGAAGCCCCTGCCCACTGACAAGCCCGCGTCCGCTGACATGGCTCCCTCTGCCCTCAGCAGCAGTTCTCCATCCATGGAAGGTTGCAGCTTCCCAAAGTGGGTTCCCTCTGGCTCTGCAAAGTGGCTGCCCTCCAGCCTAGGGCCCCCAGGCTGCTGACAGATGAGGGTCACTGAGGGGAAACCATAGGTCTCCAGCCCAGGGGGCTGCCCAGCTTCAGAAGCTTCCAGAATGAGATCCACATCAGAGAAGGCCACCAGGGCCTGGGTGGAATCGCAGGAGCTCTTCTCCAGCTCTCCAGCCGCGGTGTAGGCTAAGGGCCCTGGTGCTCCCGTGCAGGGCCAGAGCCGCCGCAGGTCGTCCCGGAAGTGGGGGTTGAAGAGCAGGTACAGCAGTGGGTTGAGGCAGGCAGGCAGGGGCAGCACGACAAGCAGGACGGACTTGACGGCCTCGGGGGTGACAGGGAAGAGGCCCAGCATGGACGCGAAGCTGAGGAAGGCCACGGGGCAGTAGAGGAGCCCGTCGGCGAAGATGAGCCAGGCCACGTGCCTGACCATGGCGCAGTCCCACACGGCCTCGAATTCGCCCCGTGGCAGGTCACAGTAGAGTTTGATGTAGGCCCCGGTCACCACCAGGAAGCAGAAGGAGTTCATCATCACCAAGGCCACGGCGAAGCCCAGGGCCGCTGGCTGGCCTTCGGGGGGCGCGTAGGGCAGACAGAGCGGGGAGGCCCCGTACTCCCCCACCGAGGTGAGGGGCAGGGCTGCCGCGAGCCCCGCCAGTGTCAGGCAGCCCAGGGCCCCGGCTCGAACGCTGCCCAGGGAGGGGGCCTTCCCATAGGCCCGGACGCAGGAGACGGAGACACTGCACTGCACCGCGGCCAGAGTGAGCAGCAGCACCGAGGCCTCAGACCCCAGCACCGCCAGGAAGCCCGTGGCCCGGCAGCCCAGCCCCATCTCCCAGCGCGCTCCGTACTGGGCGAACTGGCCAAAAGTCAAGGCATCGACAGAGGCTAGGAGGCCACAGGAAATGCCGGTCAAGGTGTTGGCACCTGCAATCGCACCTACCACAAACTTGACTGGGGGCAAGGGTCCAGGCCCCCCGGCAAACACGCTCAGCAGCACCAGCCCGTTACAGAACACCGAGAGCAGCACAATGGCCCACACAGCCAGGCGGATGCCCCAGCTCTCGAAGAGGTGCTCACAGGGCTTGAAGGGGCCTGTAGGAAAGAAGGTCAGGCATTACTCCCAGGCCAGCGGTGGCTTGACTTGGGGTTCAGGGGACAAGTCCAGGCAGGCTGACACGGACCCTGCCCTTAGACGACTGCCAGTCTGAGGAGGCTGACGTGGTCTCCGAGAACGCCCAGCTGGAGTTAGGGAGAGGAACAGTGCAGACATGCTATCTTCTTCCACTAAGTTGCAAGCGGAACACACAAGGAAAATACAAGCCCATATACAGAGGACAAGCTGATACTGTGCAAACCCGAGCATCGAGATGTTAAGCCAAGCAGTGTCTTCAAAGGAAGAGCATTTGAAAGAAAGGAAATGACAGGTTAGCATAAGGGGTAGAGGAGGCATCAGAAGTGGGCATATGTGGGGTACAGGCAGAGGGAAGCCAAGAGAGTGACTACAACCCAAATCAGCCCTCAGCGATCCCTGAAGAATCCTGCTGCAGGTGAGCCCTGACCAGGTATGGCATCAGGCCCACTCTCCCTGGGGCGGGGAGGCAGGCCATATTTAATATTCCCAGACCCTATCAGTGTTTGGAGGCAAAGGATACTGTGTAAATCAAAAAAGAGATGCCTTCTGGGCCTTCCAACCTGTTCTGTAACAGGTACAGGTTTCATGGACTCCGCCCCCACCCCAGATACCGCAACTACCAAGCCCATCAATAACAAGGAGAAGCACGTTGGGACCTGAGGGCGGAGCTGAGCAGCCAGGCTGGGATAAAACCGGACATGTGGGCTCTGGGGGGACCTGGTGGTTCACGGCTGATCGTTTTGGCGCTCAATTGGTTTTCAGCGTGCCGGTGGAGTCCAAGTCAGTAGAACTGGTAGGACATCTAGTTGACCTGTGTTTCTCTCCCTCTTTCCCTGGGTTATTCCTTTACCTTTCTCTTTATAAGTAAATCCATTATTTAACCTTTTGAGTGTGTCCATAATATGATTGAATTGTAAGCGCGTGGGTGAAGACCCATAGATAGGCAACCCAATTCACATTGGGGTGCCCTGTAACAGTTCCACAAGTGACAGGAGACACCTGACATTCTTTCCTGTTCTTGCCTTAAATCGCTTTGTGTCTGTGGACATACTATCTCATTACTTTTGACCTCATATTCCCTTCATCATGCACCGCTTTAGGAAGGGAATTGGAGAGGCTTTTGTGGGAGTTATTTTTAAAACACATTTTTTTCCCTAATTACCAAATAATAAGTGATCATATTAGAAATTTTGGAAAATATAATATGGAAAAATCAAAACTGTTTATGATTCCACCTCTCAGAGAGAATTCATCATTTTGCTGTTTTTCCTTCCAGATTAAAAAAGAAAATACGGGCCCTCGGTGGTGGCGCAGCGGGTTAAAGCACTGCACTGAAAAGCTAAATCCACTTCC